TCTTTCAGAAATTCCTGAAAATAAATTTCAATATACGACCGCAAAACTGCTGAATATTTTTGATATGACCTGGCAAACCTAAATAGACACGAAAATAACTTCTAACTTTTTAGCATGCTTTATTTCTTCCCGTTTCTCCACTACCTCTTTCATCCATCGTGGCATATACAGAAATTTCAATGGCCGTCTTTTCACGCCTTTTCGTTGGACAACGAACAGAAGGCCGGAATAGATGCAAATGACATTATTCATAAAAAAGACACTGGGAAAATGGGCAGACATATTGGTGTTTATTGAATCTAAGTTTGGTTGTACGAATGCGGATAAAAGATACGAAACGAAGAAAAAAAAAGGAAGAATTAAAAATGATACTATGTAACAAATAGAGTGAATGAAAATGAGAAAGAAAAAAGAAAGAAAGAAAGAAAGAAAGAAAGAAAGAATAAGTTGAATATGGAACAATATATCATTAAATGAATAAAGAAAGATTGGGGAAAAACAGAGAACGGAAAAGAAAGAAAGAAAGAAAGAAAGAAAGAAAGAAAGAAAGGAAAAAAGAAAGAAATATTACTGATAACAGTAGGAGTAATGGTAGGTAGATATATACATAATGAGTATATAATTAACGTAACATATATAACGTAATATATATTCTCCAGAGAATTCTCTCTCCCTACTCCCCAATATATATATATATATATATATATATATATATATATATATATATATATATATTATATTGGGGAGTAGGGAGAGAGAATATATATATATATATATATATATATATATTATACAGATGTTACAGACAAACAAGTACTAACAACAAAGATGCATTTTTGTTTCGGATCGAACGCATCTCGACAGGAGAGGAATAAAAATGGTTTTTAACGATTGTCTTTGTTCGTCACCAGTCAACATGCGTTCGCATCGAAACAAAAATGCATCTTCGTCCGTATGTAACATCTTTGAAATAAATAACTATTGCTCTACACTTAGTATTGAGCCCTCTTTTAAATTAATACTATGAACGTTTGAATTTATATTCTTTTTTGTTCTCATTACATTTGTATGTATATATATATATATATATATATATATATATATATATATATATATATATATATATATATATATATATATATTAAAACGAAGAGAAGAGTGGTGCCACAAACGTTTTTGGTTGTAATGTGTTTTTTAGAAAAACATATTATGTTTTATTTTCCATAATTTTACTACACGTGTTTCTGGTCTCGCGACCGTCTTAAGGTAAAAAGGCGGAGATTTCCACATATTATTAAAAATAATTAATTTTTTTCCTTATATTCTGCGTCAAAGGTCATAAAACAATTAAGGTTAACCTTGAGAAAAATAACGAAATGCGTTCAAATATTAATTAGAAAATATTAAAAAAAATAATCGAAAATAAGTATGGAAGACGTTAAGTGTAAATTTTTAGCATCTTGTTAAACCAAAGTGAATTAATATTGCTTCTTCTGCAATTATTATTACTATTTCCTTTGATGATTCTTGTATACACATTTCCTTTGATGTCTCCTGTATACACATTTCCATTGATGTCGCTCATATACACATTTTCTTTGATGTCTCTTTTATACACATTTCCTTTGTTGTCACTTGTATATACATTTCCTTTGATGTCACTTGTATACACATTTCCTTTGATGTCTCCTATATACACATTTCCTTTGTTGTCACTTGTATATACATTTCCTTTGATGTCACTTGTATACACATTTCCATTGAAGTATCATTTATACACATTTCCATTGACGTCACATGTATACAAATTTCCTTTGATGTCTCCTGTATACACATTTCCAATGATGTCACATGTATACACATATCCATTGATGTCTCTTTTATACACATTTACTTTGATGACTCCTGTATACACATTTCCTTTGATGTCACTTATATACACATTTCCTTTGATGTCTCCTGTATACAAATTTCCTTTGATATCTCCTGTATACACATTTCCATTGATGTCTCTTGTACACACATTTCCTTTGATGTCACTTGTATACACATTTCCATTGATGTCGCTCGTATACACATTTCCTTTGATGTCTACTGTATACACATTTCCTTTGATGTCTTCTGTATACACATTTCCTTTGATGTCACTTGTATACACATTTCCTTTGATGTCTACTGTATACACATTTCCTTTGATGTCTTCTGTATACACATTTCCTTTGATGTCACTTGTATACACATTTCCTTTGATGACTCTTTTATACAAATTTCCTTTGATGTCTCCGGTATACACATTTCCAATGATGTCACATGTATACACATTTCCTTTGATATCTCCTGTATACACATTTCCATTGATGTCTCTTGTACACACATTTCCTTTGATGTCACTTGTATACACATTTCCATTGATGTCGCTCGTATACACATTTCCTTTGATGTCTACTGTATACACATTTCCTTTGATGTCTTCTGTATACACATTTCCTTTGATGTCACTTGTATACACATTTCCTTTGATGTCTACTGTATACACATTTCCTTTGATGTCTTCTGTATACACATTTCCTTTGATGTCACTTGTATACACATTTCCTTTGATGTCTCTTTTATACACATTTCCTTTGATGACTCTTTTATACAAATTTCCTTTGATGTCTCCTGTATACACATTTCCAATGATGTCACATGTATACACATTTCCATTGATGTCTCTTTTATACACATTTACTTTGATGACTCCTGTATACACATTTCCTTTGATGTCACTTATATACACATTTGCTTTGATGTCTCCTGTATACAAATTTCCTTTGATATCTCCTGTATACACATTTCCAATGATGTCTCTTGTAGACACATTTCCTTTGATATCTCCTGTATACACATTTCCAATGATGTCTCTTGTAGACACATTTCCTTTGATATCTCCTGTATACACATTTCCATTGATGTCTCTTGTAGACACATTTCCTTTGATATCTCCTGTATACAATTTCCATTGATGTCTCTTGTACACACATTTCCTTTGATGTCACTTGTATACACATTTCCATTGATGTCGCTCGTATACACATTTCCTCTGATGTCTACTGTATACACATTTCCTTTGATGTCTTCTGTATACACATTTCCTTTGATGTCACTTGTATACACATTTCCTTTGATGTCTACTGTATACACATTTCCTTTGATGTCACTTGTATGCACATTTCCTTTGATGTCTACTGTATACACATTTCCTTTGATGTCTTCTGTATACACATTTCCTTTGATGTCACTTGTATACACATTTCCTTTGATGTCTCTTTTATACACATTTCCTTTGATGACTCTTTTATACAAATTTCCTTTGATGTCTCCTGTATACACATTTCCAATGATGTCACATGTATACACATTTCCATTGAAGTCTCTTTTATACACATTTCCTTTGATGACTCCTGTATACACATTTCCTTTGATGTCCTTATATACACATTTCCTTTGATGTCTCCTGTATACAAATTTCCTTTGATATCTCCTGTATACACATTTCCATTGATGTCTCTTGTACACACATTTCCTTTGATGTCACTTGTATACACATTTCCATTGATGTCGCTCGTATACACATTTCCTTTGATGTCTACTGTTTACACATTTCCTTTGATGTCTCTTTTATACACATTTCCTTTGATGACTCTTTTATACAAATTTCCTTTGATGTCTCCTGTATACACATTTCCAATGATGTCACATGTATACACATTTCCATTGATGTCTCTTTTATACACATTTCCTTTGATGACTCCTGTATACACATTTCCTTTGATGTCACTTATATACACATTTCCTTTGATGTCTCCTGTATACAAATTTCCTTTGATATCTCCTGTATACACATTTCCATTGATGTCTCTTGTACACACATTTCCTTTGATGTCACTTGTATACACATTTCCATTGATGTCGCTCGTATACACATTTCCTTTGATCTCTACTGTATACACATTTCCTTTGATGTCACTTGTATACACATTTCCTTTGATGTCTACTGTATACACATTTCCTTTGATGTCTTCTGTATACACATTTCCTTTGATGTCAGTTGTATACACATTTCCTTTGATGTCTCTTTTATACACATTTCCTTTGATGACTCTTTTATACAAATTTCCTTTGATGTCTCCTGTATACACATTTCCAATGATGTCACATGTATACACATTTCCATTGATGTCTCTTTTATACACATTTCCTTTGATGACTCCTGTATACACATTTCCTTTGATGTCCTTTTTATACACATTTCCTTTGATGTCTCCTGTATACAAATTTCCTTTGATATCTCCTGTATACACATTTCCATTGATGTCTCTTGTACACACATTTCCTTTGATGTCACTTGTATACACATTTCCATTGATGTCGCTCGTATACACATTTCCTTTGATCTCTACTGTATACACATTTCCTTTGATGTCCTTGTATACACATTTCCTTTGATGTCTACTGTATACACATTTCCTTTGATGTCTTCTGTATACACATTTCCTTTGATGTCACTTGTATACACATTTCCTTTGATGTCTCTTTTATACACATTTCCTTTGATGACTCTTTTATACAAATTTCCTTTGATGTCTCCTGTATACACATTTCCAATGATGTCACATGTATACACATTTCCATTGATGTCTCTTTTATACACATTTCCTTTGATGACTCCTGTATACACATTTCCTTTGATGTCACTTATATACACATTTCCTTTGATGTCTCCTGTATACAAATTTCCTTTGATATCTCCTGTATACACATTTCCATTGATGTCTCTTGTACACACATTTCCTTTGATGTCACTTGTATACACATTTCCATTGATGTCGCTCGTATACACATTTCCTTTGATGTCTACTGTATACACATTTCCTTTGATGTCTTCTGTATACACATTTCCTTTGATGTCACTTGTATACACATTTCCTTTGATGTCTACTGTATACACATTTCCTTTGATGTCTTCTGTATACACATTTCCTTTTATGTCACTTGTATACACATTTCCGTTGATGTCTCTTTTATACACATTTCCTTTGATGACTCTTTTATACAAATTTCCTTTGATGTCTCCTGTATACACATTTCCAATGATGTCACATGTATACACATTTCCATTGATGTCTCTTTTATACACATTTCCTTTGATGTCAGTTGTATACACATTTCCTCTGATGTCACTTATATACACATTTCCTTTGATGTCTCCTGTATACAAATTTCCTTTGATGTCTCCTGTATACACATTTCCAATGATGTCTCTTGTAGACACATTTCCTTTGATATCTCCTGTATACACATTTCCATTGATGTCTCTTGTAGACACCTTTCCTTTGATATCTCCTGTATACACATTTCCATTGATGTCTCTTGTACACACATTTCCTTTGATGTCACTTGTATACACATTTCCATTGATGTCGCTCGTATACACATTTCCTTTGATCTCTACTGTATACACATTTCCTTTGATGTCACTTGTATACACATTTCCTTTGATGTCTACTGTATACACATTTCCTTTGATGTCTTCTGTATACACATTTCCTTTGATGTCACTTGTATACACATTTCCTTTGATGTCTCTTTTATACACATTTCCTTTGATGACTCTTTTATACAAATTTCCTTTGATGTCTCCTGTATACACATTTCCAATGATGTCACATGTATACACATTTCCATTGATGTCTCTTTTATACACATTTCCTTTGATGACTCCTGTATACACATTTCCTTTGATGTCACTTATATACACATTTCCTTTGATGTCTCCTGTATACAAATTTCCTTTGATGTCTCCTGTATACACATTTCCAATGATGTCTCTTGTAGACACATTTCCTTTGATATCTCCTGGATACACATTTCCATTGATGTCTCTTGTAGACACCTTTCCTTTGATATCTCCTGTATACACATTTCCATTGATGTCTCTTGTACACACATTTCCTTTGATGTCACTTGTATACACATTTCCTTTGATGTCTACTGTATACACATTTCCTTTGATGTCTTCTGTATACACATTTCCTTTGATGTCTACTGTATACACATTTCCTTTGATGTCTTCTGTATACACATTTCCTTTGATGTCACTTGTATACACATTTCCTTTGATGTCTCTTTTATACACATTTCCTTTGATGACTCTTTTATACAAATTTCCTTTGATGTCTCCTGTATACACATTTCCAATGATGTCACATGTATACACATTTCCATTGATGTCTCTTTTATACACATTTCCTTTGATGACTCCTGTATACACATTTCCTTTGATGTCACTTATATACACATTTCCTTTGATGTCTCCTGTATACAAATTTCCTTTGATGTCTCCTGTATACACATTTCCAATGATGTCTCTTGTAGACACATTTCCTTTGATATCTCCTGTATACAAATTTCCATTGATGTCTCTTGTAGACACATTTCCTTTGATATCTCCTGTATACACATTTCCATTGATGTCTCTTGTACACACATTTCCTTTGATGTCACTTGTATACACATTTCCATTGATGTCGCTCGTATACACATTTCCTTTGATGTCTCTTTTATACACATTTCCTTTGATGACTCTTTTATACACATTTCCTTTGATGTCAGTTGTATACACATTTCCATTGATGTCACTTGTATACACATTTCCTTTGATGTCTCTTTTATACACATTTCCTTTGATGACTCTTTTATACACATTTCCATTGATGTCTCTTTTATACACATTTACTTTGATGACTCCTGTATACACATTTCCTTTGATGTCACTTATATACACATTTCCTTTGATGTCTCCTGTATACAAATTTCCTTTGATATCTCCTGTATACACATTTCCATTGATGTCTCTTGTACACACATTTCCTTTGATGTCACTTGTATACACATTTCCATTGATGTCGCTCGTATACACATTTCCTTTGATGTCACTTGTATACACATTTCCATTGATGTCTTCTGTATACACATTTCCTTTGATGTCACTTGTATACACATTTCCTTTGATGTCTACTGTATACACATTTCCTTTGATGTCTTCTGTATACACATTTCCTTTGATGTCTACTGTATACACATTTCCAATGATGTCACATGTATACACATTTCCATTGATGTCTCTTTTATACACATTTCCTTTGATGACTCCTGTATACACATTTCCTTTGATGTCACTTATATACACATTTCCTTTGATGTCTCCTGTATACAAATTTCCTTTGATATCTCCTGTATACACATTTCCATTGATGTCTCTTGTAGACACATTTCCTTTGATATCTCCTGTATACACATTTCCATTGATGTCTCTTGTACACACATTTCCTTTGATGTCACTTGTATACACATTTCCATTGATGTCGCTCGTATACACATTTCCTTTGATGTCTACTGTTTACACATTTCCTTTGATGTCTCTTTTATACACATTTTTTTGATGACTCTTTTATACACATTTCCTTTGATGTCAGTTGTATACACATTTCCTTTGATGTCTCTTTTATACACATTTCCATTGATGTCTCTCGTACACACATTTCCTTTGATGTCTCTTGTATACACATTTCCTTTGATGTCTACTGTATACACATTTCCAATGATGTCTCTTGTAGACACATTTCCTTTGATATCTCCTGTATACATTGATGTCGCTCGTATACACATTTCCTTTGATGTCTACTGTTTACACATTTCCTTTGATGTCTCTTTTATACACATTTTTTGATGACTCTTTTATACACATTTCCTTTGATGTCAGTTGTATACACATTTCCTTTGATGTCTCTTTTATACACATTTCCATTGATGTCTCTCGTACACACATTTCCTTTGATGTCTCTTGTATACACATTTCCTTTGATGTCTACTGTATGCACATTTCCTTTCATGTCACTTGTATACACAATTCGCTTGATGTCTCTTGTATACACATTTCCTTTGATGTATCTTTTATACACATTTCCATTGATGTCTCTTGTACACATATTTCCTTTGATGTCACTTGTATACACATTTGCTTTGATGTCTCTTTTATACACATTTCCATTGATGTCACTTGTATACACATTTGCTTTGATGTCTGCTGTATACCCATTTTCTTTTGATGTCTCTTATATACACATTTCCTTTCATGTCTCTCGTATACACATTTCCTTTCATGTCTACTGATTATTTTTGTAAAATAAAAACCCTAAAATCCCACACATTGTATTATTATTATTATTATTATTCTTATTATTATTTCCTTTGATTTCTGTGGTATACGCGTTTATTTGCAGATCCCGACCAAAAACCTAATGTGAGAATGACTTTATGACATCTTCCATTGATCATTTTTATATATAAAAAAAAACTACGATCACCAACCTTTCACATAGATATCGCTCTTCGTAATGTATGAGGTGTACCTGTAGGCACAGTTTTTTTATTAATATTATTATTGCTTTAAGGCATCGACTACAAGGAAACCTTTCATTGAGTCCATCGGCCCCTTTTCCAATCAATCCGAGAGCTTCAACTAAAACTGAATTTATTAATGTCCTCATGTGACAATTTGTTTTAGATTTTCTATTCAAGATGCGTTTATTTTGATAATTTTTTGAAGATCTTCAAAATACATTGCAATTTGCAGTGACTGCCATGTTGATAAGTAAGCATATTCTGTCTTTGTGGTGTTTGACCACGATTTCTTGGCGATTACATTTGATTCTTATATCCTTGTGTATTGTAAAGTCCCATAAAATTGTTACAGGTCCTATATTTGTAACCGGGTCTAAGCGATGTTCTTACCAATTTCTTGCAGTTTCCTTCCCATTAAATTTGCATATTTTCCAATGCAGATCTTGATCCACGCTATCATACCGTGTTTTATATTCAGTGGTAGTAACATTGTGGAACCTGATACAAGGTGGTCAATTGTTTCTTGATATTTATCACTGTTTTGGGGGTCAGCTGAATTTTTCTGCATGTGTGTTTGGTAATTTCTTGTTAGCATGCATTATGTATGTAGCAAGAATAAAACCTTGGGTTTCAGCTTTTAACCTTGTATACCCTAACCATTGATGGGTACGGGTATTTTCTACATGTGCTTGTTTGTTACGGGTAGATTTATCATGAAAAGGCTTATCTTGTCATGACTTTTACATTTTGTACATTGCATTTGTTTTTGGAGTCTGTCTCAAGGACACATGACACAGTGGATAAAGGCGTTGGTTAGATCCAGTGACAGGACCCCAAAGAGTGTGAGTTCAATACCCGGTTAAGGCAGTGGAGAACTTTCAGAGGGAAATTAGCAGGAGATAACTGATAACTGACATCCATCAAACATGACACGTGGAACTAGAACAGTCTACCCCAGTGAGCGAAATAAAGGGTTCAGTTCGAAATTCCAACCACCTGAAGAAGGCCGGAGCGTTGTAATAAATATGGCGACAAAGATGAGGACAATAGTCCAAATAATGTGCATTTGTTTTTGCATTCATTTTTAGGTTTTTCGCCGCTGCATTAGATGTATTATGGTTTATTTGCACTTCTTCACCCACTTAAAATTCCTTCATGATTATCGTTAATTTTTAAGATATGAGTTTATATTTTCCCTTTAATTTTAAATCTATTTTACAGTCGCACATAAATATGTTGGCTTAAGAAAGAGGCATTTCTTTTCAAAATATATTTGAAATGATCCATGGCATAGATTTATGCTTAGTATGTATTAATGTACTTGCGAAATCGCCTTTTCATAGTCATTATCTTAATAAGGACAGCATTTTTATATCGAAATAGGGGCTGAAATTATGTCTTGTATATTTATTCAATGAATAAAGTATTCTATTTACATTATTCGGACTATTGTCCTCATCTTTGTCGCCATGTTTATCACAAAGTTTTGGCCGTTGTACGCTCTGGCCTTCTTCAGGTGGTTGGAATTTCGAACTGAACCCTTTATTTCGCTCGCTGGTGTAGACTGTTCTAGTTTCAGGTGCCACGTTTAATGAATGTCATTTATCTCGTGTTAATACCCCTCTCAAAGTTCACCACTGCCTTAACTAGGTATTGAACTCACAATCTTTGGATCCTGTCACTGGATCTGACTATCGCCTTTATCCACTGTGTCATGTGTCCTTGAGGACATTTGTGCATGAATTTCTGGGTATTATAAACCTAATGTCTTCACAAACCATTTTTACCAGTGCTCATATTGCAATTTTTGTTGTTATCATTGCATGTTTTTGGGGTGTTTTTTTTTTTTTACCATAGCTCATATAGCATTTTTTTTTTGTTGTTATTATCGCTTTTCTCTGCGACTCCTTATTACTGATTCTCATATTGTATTCATTTCTATGGTTGATCAGCTCAGGAAATTTTTGTCGCCTAGCATATATGCTGATTCCTTAAGTTTACGAATTTTCCAATGATGTTCTTCGTCTATAATCTCAACTTCATCCCACAAAGGGCGGTGAACTCTCTTTTCTCTCTATATGGGATAAAGTATTAGATAGAAGATCTTTCTTATATTCAGAAATGATCCTTTTTTTTAATTTCTTTCTGGAGATTTCTCTGGTATAGTGTAAGGAACATATTATACCTTATATATAGCAGATTCAGTATTATTCTTAATAGGGTCAATTTTGGTTCTGATATGGTCATCAATGATCTCCTCTTATCACTTCTTATATATATATATATATATATATATATATATATATATATATATATATATATATGCAAGTTTCATTATATATGACAGACAAGATACTTTGATTAATTTTTATACAATTTCTCGTGTAAAAATACAATTTCTCATGTAATAAAAATGAAATATTATATAAATATATATATATACAACAATCTATTTCTTGTTAACATTTAATATATTTCAACTTTGAAAATGACTAAATGTACAGCCGAATGCGCTCGGAAAATAACAACAATTGGACGGTTTCTTATATAATGTACTAGCAGCATGGCCCGACGTTGCCCCGTGCTTGATTCAAAAATCGTACGACTCATACAGCAATCGCTATCACTTGACTTAAAATATTTTTGCTCTTCCTTGCCTTTAAAAGAGTGCCCTTTTCCGTGCTGATGTTGCTACATGCCTTACTTCTTGCCTATTTCACACTGCGAATTTTTTCGAAGCTCTATACTAAACATTAAATCTGTTACGAAAAAAGAACTAAACAAAATAAACACAAAACGATCAGTTTTAAAAAAGGACTCGTAACTGGAAAAACCGAATGAAAAAAGAATGTTAACAACAAATACTTTTTCAAACCTAACCCAGCTCTGCGGAAGCAGAATCAACGTTGAGTTTAAGCAAGCGAATGAGCCAATTGGCGTAAAGTGCAATGCAGATTTAAATTTTTCACACTTGTGACGAATGCAGCTATCGATTTTTTTTGCATGCTAGCATGCTAGTTAACATTCGTGTCAGTCAGCTGTTGGCTCTCACTCTGGCCAGTAGAAAATGGCCGCAAACTAAATGGAAACTGTAGCAGAAGCATGAAACAGTCGATTATTTCCACTATCGATGGGAGTTGGGAAATGAAAAGTCGGTCTTGCCTTTCCCGCTAACTTGGATCATGTGCATGTAAATTTTGGTGCAAATCCGTCGAAAATTGCGTCCGTGCCTTCGTTACACACATACACACAGACACACACACAGACATCCTTCCTTTTATAGATAGAGATCTACCGAATAGAAAAAATAAATTGTATAAAAAATTGATCAAGACACCTTGTCTGTCATATTCAAAGAAACTTGCATGAAAGAAGGATTACTGTCTAAATACACAACATATATATGGGATATATATATATATTGGGATATATATATATAGTTTGGGATATATATATATGGCACATATTCGTTGGTATATAATCCAGGTGGATCCTAGTAATATTAATCATTAAAACTGATCCACAGAGAGCTCGGTGTATTTATTATAATAGAGGATATGTAAATAAAAAAAAACATTTAATCTTTATTTTAAAAAAAAACAAACTATTATGTAAATTTTTGTAACTTTGTATAATATTTATGCATTACATCCTAATCTTTATTCGGTAAAATTTCATTGCTAATCATGCATAACTTTTTAGGTAATACAAATATTCATGTCTTTGTTGTTCTCGTTTCTTATATTTCATATTGCTACTGTATATATATATATATATATATATATATATATATATATATATATATATATATATATATATATATATATATATATATATATATATATATATATATATATATATATATATGTCAAATCGGTCGGGTTTCAATCCCAGCTTTACAGCAATCGAATGTCTCGCCACACTGATGAGCTGTGATACAACAAAACTATCTGTAAATGACTATATACATATATATATATATATATATATATATATATATATATATATATATATATATATATATTATAATTTACAAAAGTGAAAAATATATATATATATATATATATAATATCAACGAAAGAAACTAATATAATTGTTCATATCACAGCAGAATAATAATATATAGAATTTTTATATGCGCATATATATATATATATATATATATATATATATATATATATATATATATATATATAAGTGAACAGACTGTCGCCTCTAAGTGTTGACTTCTATTTTTCACTTTTATATTTACACACGCTCTATCTCTGATATTGATCACTTTATCCCATAAATATAGAACACCTTAAGACTATATATATATATATA